TTGCAGTTGGTTTCAGCAAGTTATTGATACTAATCAGTGTAAAGATATTTCACACGTGGAACTGGGCAGCTGTTGTCATCGTGAGTTGAAAAGCTTAATGAAATTCCAGCAAAAGTTCCTGGTATTCCACATACGTTATGTTTTCAACAGATGGCCTCGGTAGGGCTGCATGGATTTAACAGTCTGTCCAATGCGCATTCCCACACACTGCCCAACTGAGTCCATCATACATACCTGTAGGACGTTTCCAGGCCCTTCCAAACCCAACCCGAGCTTGTGGCCGCTCAAAAACAGTAAAGGAAATGTGTTGGCTAAAATTTCATTTAATGATTCGAAAAAACCATTGGGAAGGTACTTTAAGGTTGGTACGCTTTCTCCTCGCCGATTTCCAATTTAATCCGATTTAAAGGCAGTTTCTCTAGGACGTTCCCTTCGAATTCTAGTTGTGTTCTACGATGGTGAGCATCTCTTACCAATTTGTACGAGTAATTCAGTCATGGTAAGGTGATCCCATAGTATAGCTGTGCCTTGTTGAGTCTTATTGAGTTGACGGTAATCGATACACTCAATGGCTTGGTCAACAAAACATAGCTATGGGACTTGTTTATTGTCGTAACTCTTTGAACGTAGATTCACAGTCTAAACTAAATCAGGTTTAATTCTGCGTCGGAAGACTTCTTTATGAAACATTCCGGCAAAACGCATGAACAAAAATATCACCAAGAACATTCTTGCCCATAAATTTATTGATCGAAGTGCGTAAGTATGTGATAAGAAGTTTTCCGACATCAGTGATGATAACTTTCGAACACTTCACCATGCTCCGTACTTCTTAAGCCAAACGAATACGAACAAGGAAATGCTTTGATTCGTACGCTGGAAATGGCGCACACGGGTAAAGTCAACTAACACCATACGGGTTCTTGTGACAGGTTAGTCGATTTTCTTAATGAGATCTTAGTTTAGCCATACGCATCAATGTCCAGGCACCACCACTCATAGTTGACTAGTTTTGATACGTGGTCAACACTTTCGGAAACAGTAAGGTCAAAGTTGTGACGGGCTACAAAACCCAGATATGTTGACTGGAAAAAACGGTCACAAACCCCTTTCTTATCCTCTAGCTGTTTTCATCAACTGCCTCCAACGGGCAGTTGATTGTGGCAATGACAGCTAAATGGATTCTGGATAGGACTACTGAAAGAACAAATTAGAGACTGCTTACCATTTGTACGTTTTTACCGTTTACCATAGGTGTGAATGCAAGTTACGAGATATCGCAGTATATTTTTATAAAGGTTCAAGTAGAACATAAGGTTGATGGAAACTAGGGGACTGCGCCTATCTGATGAGCCCCAAGAAGGGCGAAACCGTCTTGGGGTTTGGAAGAGTTTTTCAGCAACCTTGTGAGTAGATTCCTTTGCGGAAATATTAAGTCAGGTATTTAGATTTTGACCCCATGCTATCCTTCCTGAATGGAGAATTTGGCAACTGGTTGTCTCAATAATCAAACTCCCCATCGTCATTATCTCAGCAAATTGTGATTGATTTGTCAACTCCTGTTTGTGTTTAGATGTCTACCTGGTCCCTGTAATGTAGTAGCACTTAGGTCTTGTTGAGACTAACTACCTTCTGACTGAATTGCTGTCAAGTTAGCTAAACAATAGCCTGATGTAATGACGCACCCTTATTGTCCGGGGCGTTAATGGATAGTTGTCTGATTGTTACCTGATTGACTTGTAACGCTGCACTACCTAGCTTAGACTTGTCAAAATATAACCGCTTTCGTTGGTCAGTAAGCCTCTGACATATCCGTATTATCATCCTTCTGCTTATGACTGCCACACAACAAAACATTCGAGCAAACTCAAAGTTTATCAAGCCTACATATGGACTGCATGAAACTCAAGTGTTCACTACACACTGCATGGATCTTAATATATGCTTGTTAGCGCTACTCACCCCGGGGTTTGATTCTACTCCACCGTCAGCTGTGATAAAGTTTCGATTCCTAGTAGTATGCGGTTTGGAATTTTATAACAGAGGCCTCCTAAGTGAAGCCAATTTATGCTGAGATGCTTCTCGTCTTCTCTGACTTAAGAATTTCAAAGCACACACTGTTTTGACGCCTGGATTTGTGCAACAGGACTGAGAATTGCGGCGAAGGGTTGTGTCACTCCCGCCATTCTGCTTTTGATTCCCGTCCGTTCTGGCAAGCCGAACAAACTAATAATTGTGAACAGTCTCCGAAATGAACTGAACCGAATTGAACTAAACTGAACTGAACTGAACTGAACTGAACTGAACTGAACTGAACTGAACTGAACTGAACTGAACTGAACTGAACTGAACTGAACTGAACTGAACTGAACTGAACTGAACTGAACTGAACTGAACTGAACTGAACTGAACTGAACTGAACTGAACTGAACTGAACTGAACTGAACTGAACTGAACTGAACTGAACTGAACTGAACTGAACTGAACTGAACTGAACTGAACTGAACTGAACTGAACTGAACTGAACTGAACTGAACTGAACTGAACTGAACTGAACTGAACTGAACTGAACTGAACTGAACTGAACTGAACTGAACTGAACTGAACTGAACTGAACTGAACTGAACTGAACTGAACTGAACTGAACTGAACTGAACTGAACTGAACTGAACTGAACTGAACTGAACTGAACTGAACTGAACTGAACTGAACTGAACTGAACTGAACTGAACTGAACTGAACTGAACTGAACTGAACTGAACTGAACTGAACTGAACTGAACTGAACTGAACTGAACTGAACTGAACTGAACTGAACTGAACTGAACTGAACTGAACTGAACTGAACTGAACTGAACTGAACTGAACTGAACTGAACTGAACTGAACTGAACTGAACTGAACTGAACTGAACTGAACTGAACTGAACTGAACTGAACTGAACTGAACTGAACTGAACTGAACTGAACTGAACTGAACTGAACTGAACTGAACTGAACTGAACTGAACTGAACTGAACTGAACTGAACTGAACTGAACTGAACTGAACTGAACTGAACTGAACTGAACTGAACTGAACTGAACTGAACTGAACTGAACTGAACTGAACTGAACTGAACTGAACTGAACTGAACTGAACTGAACTGAACTGAACTGAACTGAACTGAACTGAACTGAACTGAACTGAACTGAACTGAACTGAACTGAACTGAACTGAACTGAACTGAACTGAACTGAACTGAACTGAACTGAACTGAACTGAACTGAACTGAACTGAACTGAACTGAACTGAACTGAACTGAACTGAACTGAACTGAACTGAACTGAACTGAACTGAACTGAACTGAACTGAACTGAACTGAACTGAACTGAACTGAACTGAACTGAACTGAACTGAACTGAACTGAACTGAACTGAACTGAACTGAACTGAACTGAACTGAACTGAACTGAACTGAACTGAACTGAACTGAACTGAACTGAACTGAACTGAACTGAACTGAACTGAACTGAACTGAACTGAACTGAACTGAACTGAACTGAACTGAACTGAACTGAACTGAACTGCTGATTCATTACACGCCGGTTATTTAAGACAGTGCAGCCGATTGCGCCGGTGCCGTCTGGGAAAATGTATTTACCATCTGCTTACGCGCTCCATACGCTGGGGTTTTCAAAACTGACCACGTATTTCCAAGTATCGTCCTGTCAAACGGAGTCCCAAAGAATGGCAGCGAAGAATCCCGTTAGGATAGACGATCGATCAGGGTGAAGTAGTGGATACTCATCAAAGGCCATATTGTCTGTCCGTGTCAACAGATTGTTGAAAAAACATTCGCACTTCCTACATTAGGTTATTAATTATTGCGTTAAATTAGCGAACGGGTGGTCTTGCAGTCGTCACGTTTCAACCGGTAGTCGCATCTGCATCAAGAATCATAGTAACACCCACCTGATGAAACAGAATGTGTGCGCAAGTTATAGTGGGACTAAAATTTTTAGAAACTATACATGTCTTTCACGTATGACATGACATGACAAGTCATCTGTGGGGATCGACTGCAGACTGGGATAAGAAAACAACCGCTCATTGGAAATATAGTTTCCTGACAAGGCTTGAAGATGGTTGGAGGAACTAAAACCTTACCGGTTCTTTCAGATTTTAAAGTTACTGTGGGTTTTACACACGGAACAAGTCAGTAACTAGCTGTTCCCCTCAGTGAAGGCAGAAAACAATCGAAAGAGGAACAATTTTTTCTCGTCTTAAGCATGTCTGGGATGTCGTATATTTGAGTGTCGCCTTATCACAATGACAGCAAGAGACCTGATATCTCCGTAATGCAGCTGGAGGCAAAAAGTTTCTCAGCACGAATTCGCGCCTATGGAATACCTTGAATATACCTGTCAAATGAATCGGCCAATCAACTATTCTCCAATCACATGAAAACAGTGTCATGTAGGCACGTTCCTATCGTTCATATTATCTGAAATCATGGTTCCATCCCGTCACTTTCGTAAATCTATTAACTATTAGGAGAACCAGCTCCGAACGTAACGGGACTACACAACAGCCAATGGAATAAATGTTTTCGTTGAGACAGATTTCATTGGTTGTCCGTCACTCGCCCTTGACAGATGAGTTGTATTCTTAGTATCACTTTTTGACCGCTTGTACGTGACAGTGATCAATAGATCGGCTGGCTCGCACGTTCATTGACTTTTTCTGGTCTGTCCGAGTGCACCAGGCGGTCAGACGACCATCGAGACCGGGGTTCACGGTAATAAAAAGGCTTAAGGGACTGTGGTCCACAATACACATCAGTAATCATTAATGCTTCTCATACAAAACAAAGATTCCTGCTAGTACGTTCATTGATTTTCAACTATCCCTTATAACTCTTTCAGTGAATACTCCAAGAAAACGCATAGCTAACACAGGTTTGTTTGATTTCATCTAACTCAAAAGCTTGTTTTCAATCTGATAATCTTCGTTCTTGTTTTAGTTCCATGCTCTCAAGCGAAAACCAAAAGGACAGTGCCCAGCAGAGACAACGTCCCATCGCTCGCAAATATAGAAAAATTCCAACCGCTGTGACCATTATATTCAGCAATTTGAGCCAACAATGGAGCCGTGCTGAGAAATACGATTACTTTCTTTCCGTTATACAATCAGACATGTGGACAAAGTAACGATGGAAACCTTATTAGCCTTCTTATCGCCGTGCTCCCACCAGCTCGTCAAAGTTAAAACCTAACCGCTATTTGTATGGGATGAAATTCCTTATATAAACATATGCTGAAGACTATTCACATTCACTAGCCATACCTGTCATGATCAACATATCGTCCCGCCATAATCTACCGTAATATTCCCTGATCCCGATGGCGCTTGTTGAGTTGATGTAAATGATACTGTTGTTTAATTTAACTACTGAGGCTGTACTCAGTAGCGTATTTATTTTATACCTTGGAATGTGCGGAAGGATTGACGATGGGGCTATACAGCTAGCAGCAGTCGGCCTTATTTTGTTTTGGAAACGTCACGCAATGATCACATGACCATACCGACTGCAGCTAGCATTGGTTTGAGCTGATGTTTTAACATTCCAAAAGATGTGACTGATTTCCCGAAGACAAGTTAAACCGCTGAAGCTCGGTGGTTTCCTAGAGCTGACAGCTTTTGCTCGAGAATTCACTCCTAGCTAATTCAGGCGGGAATCAGACCAAGATGAGGATGGAACCTGCTACGAGGGATGTCTGAGCTAATTTCCAGAGTTGGGTGACACACACTGAAAAGTACCGTTTTCTAAGGAGAGCGGGAACCACGAAATAGAGGCAATGGGTTTAGAAAAAAGAGCATAGTGAGTGTGCTAAATTAGTGATTTTTGCGTTTCCATTTCCGAAGGATTTTACTGCCACAAAGAACACATTTCACCCTGTGATCATCATGTGTCCAAAAAGAGGTCGTGGTAGGCATTCAATTTATACTCCCTTTGAAAATAGATTGTAGTACTTTATGGGAATCGTTTGGTTTCACCCGCCATTTTTCGCAGGAACGAGCAGATTCGTCAGTAAATACTGAAGAATTACCCCAACTTTTTTAAACTTAAAAGTTGTGCCAACACTATCGAGCCAACATCGACCCAGACGTTCAGCGAGCTGTCTCTGTTTGACTGCATAACTGATACGCATTTATGTACAGCTCGAATATGACGGGAGTACGATGGCCAGTCCCACAGCACAGCAATAATGGGTTATTAGACCGATCTGTGAAGGCGTCATGGATAATGACTTTCAGAAGGGATACACGTTACTGAATCGAAAATCAGGTCAATGATGAGGCGAAATAACTTGAGATTATTTTAGCACAGGTTTCTTTAACACTCGAAGAAACATAGCCAGTGCACACATACCCTATCGTGTGCAAGTTGCTAAAACGGCGCACTTCATCCAGCGGTGAGCAGGTACGAAAAAGCGTGCGAAATATCTTCCATACTAGACATGAACTCATTGCGTTCGTGGTTTCAGAAGCATACTGTGAAATTTCATCAAACAATCCGTTTTCGGCTGACAATTTTCGAGAAACTACAAGCAGACAACACAGTCAGACCTCTGTCATCGTGTTGGACCCCTGTGAGCAAACTACTCTAATGATATCAGTATCCTGTAACATGCATTTGTTGCATTGTGATTACTGAAATATACAGGTATATGGGAGCGAGATGGCCCAAGTGGGTAGACCAAGAATTTACTGACCGGAAAGTCCGTAGTTCAAACCCGACCTCTGTCTCTCGACTAACCCTGTCTAGGCTTGGGCAACCTGGTAGTATCCCAGCCCTCGTGCTTCCCTTTGGTGGCATGGCAGCTACGCACTGAAAGCGTGCTACAGCTGAACGATTTTGCTGTTCAAACACAAGGCCATTTCCCAAACCCAAGAATGATGACACCAAAATATAGAAAACGTATTTAATAGTCCCAGAAAACATTGCCATGTCCTGAAAAGGTAGGAAAAATGCAAGTAGTGAAGCATCTGCTCACGAATCTGATGTGGGGATAGTTGATTCCGTGTACGTGAGCTCGACCGAATGAGCCAATTTGTCGTCGTCAACTTGAATCGATCGATGTCTGTTCAAACTACGCATTAGTAGAATCGCCAACAAATGTTCACACTAGGTGGTGCATATCAGGTATGATTGAGAATGATTTTCACAACTGACCCACAGTTGGCACCTTGCGTCCAAATTCAGCATCTTGTTTCCCACAAAAAGTGAAATGCACGGACAATAATGAGCATGGTAGCTACAGTACTGTGGCGCACCGTGATGAGGTTCGAGCTAGGGAGAGTGAATGGCGCTCCTTCACGGCTTACCTTGTAAAGATAACGTCCAGAAGGCGATTGTTCCAATGTTAATGAACCTCGTTCAACATAGGTCACGGCAGGAAAGCTTACTGCTCCGAATATATCGTGAATACTGCATGCCGGGGAGGGTTCAAGAGTAATGCGTATGGAATTTACAGCAGGATAATGTCGTCTGAAAGCACCGAACCAATATTTTCAAGACGGTTTCGTAAATTTTCAGCGAGGCATCGCGGGACCATAACAACAACCATGATGAGTTTGGTTCTTAGAAAAACCCAGCTGATGATGAAACGAATTCCGACAAAATCCGTATGCAAACTGAAATGTCTGGAAACAAAGGTAAAAATG